GGCCGAGTGCCTTCTGCGCATTCCTTCCCGTAGAGATCGTGATACTCCCCCAGCGTCTGAAATTAGCATCTAGCCCGTATCAAACACCAGCCTCTGAACCTCGTAGCCGAAGCCACAACAACCTCCGAACCCTTCTCGAAACCCGAAGTCCAAGCCCTAAACCCTAAGCCCTAAATCCTAAACCCTAAACCCTAAATCCTAAACCCTAAACCCTAAATCCTAAACCCTAAACCCTAAAACCCCCTCGACCGGGCACCTTAAGAGATTGAGCCGCGGAGGTCCCGGATGCCAGCTTCGATAGCTCGGAAGGCGCCCGGCGCTGGCCCACTCTAGGTTTAGGGTTTAGGGTTTAGGGTTTAGGGTTTAGGGTTTAGGGTTTAGGGTTTAGGGTTTAGGGTAGTTTCATGGGCCCTTAATTCATATGGCCCCCTTACCTCCGCTAAAGGGTTCTGATGTATTGGCCCTGAATTCGTATGGGGTATATAACGGGTATACGTGTGGTCCCCTGAACTCAAGCCCCGCGCTCTACTACTCCTCGGGTTTTGGGTTTAGGGTACCCTAAACCCTAAACCCTAAACCCTAGACCCTACACCCTAAGGAGCTCCGCCTCCAGCCCCTAAGCCCTGAGACCCTTACCCTGTATCCCTACATCCCAGAGCTCCTGAAGGAGGTACCGAAACCTACAAAAGCCTACATCATAAGCAGGCCCTGAAGCCCTAAAACCCTTTCTCCCCTGAAGCCCAAAGCCCCTGAAGCAGGAACCGACCGCGAGTCAAGGGTATCCTCCATGCAGACGCGCTGGGTCCGGGCAGTTTTAGGCCCAGGCGCCCCAGCAAGGGAACAAGATCTGGGGGCTTGAGAGTGGCATAGGACTTGAGGCCTCAGACCCTAAACCCTGCATGAACCCTAAACCCCAAACCCTAAGCCAAATTTCAGGGTGCGGCTTTCCTCGGGGGGTAGGGGGTGGTTTAGGGCACGTTGAGGGTGTGGGGCAGACGCCTGCATGTTGGGGCCTGGGCTTCCCAACTGAGCCTTTAAAATGCAGGTTTAGGGTTTAGTGTTTCGGGTTTCGGGTTTAGGGCCTGCAAAGCCTGACAGGCTGAGCGTCAGAAGGCCTCGTAATGCCCTTGAAGCCTTTAAGGCCCTGTAGGCACAGGGCCTCTGAGTCCATCGGGGTCCCAACATCCACCTTGCACCCCTTAGAATGAGAGTACTTGATACGCTGGAAGCCCCAAAAGCCCTAAAGCCCTAAAGCCCTAAAGCCCTAAAGCCCTAAAGCCCTAAAGCCCAAAAGCCCTAAAGCCCTAAAGCCCTAAAGCACCGAACCCAAGAACCCCGAACTCTTCTTACACCTAAGCTAAGCTTTCTTGACACTTAGACGAAAAACCTCAAACCCTTAAGCCCGAACCCTCAACCCTTAAATTTAAGAGCCCCCGGCTCAAGCCGCCGACCCCGCTGGAGCATAGTTGAAAGGTTTAAACGCGCTCGTCAGCTCAAAGGATGCCAAAAAAGTTGATGTGCTTGAGCCTCTGTGAAACGTTGGGAGCCAAACAGGAGCTGAAGCCAGCTTGAAGGCCAGGGCAGCCCCATCACAGGGTCGGCGGACCCTTAAACTCTCAACAAGAGCCCGTCAACCCTAAATCCTAAACCCTAAACCCTAACCCCTAAACCCATTTTTGGGCTCGAAGCCAAACAGGTGCCCAAGCGAGCTCGGCGAAACGGTCGTGCAGCTGGGAGACCAGGAGCACGGTTTAGGGCTTATGGGATTTGTTGGGTTTATTGTGTTCTATTATATTTTTATTACATTATATTATATTGTATTATATTATATTATATATTCTATATTTTCTATTATATTATATTGTGTTTTAAATTAAATTAAAATATATTATATTATATGTATTTTCATTTCTTTAGTGTGTAGGGTTTATATATAGGGCTTCAGGGTGGCATCTTGGGACTTGTAGAGGGTGTTAGGGGTGTCGGGTTTCAGGGTTTAGGGCTTAGTGTTTTAGGCTTCGTAGGGTTCCCTCACCTTCTTGGAAGGGCTCTGAAGTATAGGCCTGTGGGTTCTGTAGGGTATATGATTTAAGGGGTTAAGGGGTATATAAGAGACCCCCCCATTTAAGGACCGATATGAAGGGGCCATGTAAACAACCCTAGCAAGAGGGTTGCTGGGGTTGGTGGGCTACGTATGCCCGACATCGGTGAAAGTGGTGGAGCATGGAGCGGGTCTGTCTAACGCGAAAGGACCTGCATAAGAAGCCCCACCAAACCATTAAACTAACTCCCCGAAACCATTGCCAGGACTCAAAGTAGGCCGCAGGCCCTTATTCCTTTTTTTCGGAGTTTCCCTTAGAAGCCCCAACTTTTATTTCCAGGCTACTCTTGGGTCTAGATTAGAATCACCAGAAACATAGAGCCCTTAGGCCCCAAGGCCTTGCACCCCATGTACATCCGAAACCCTCCACTTTCACATCCTAAAGCCCGAAAGCCCTAAACATGGGTAATTCTCAACATAGGGGCACCCCTTAGTATACCCCCAAATTTGCAAACCCTTACTATAGGAAATCCTTAAAAGGGTACACCTAAACTACCAAACCCCAAACCCCAAACCCCTAAACCCTAAAGCCTAAACCCCAAAATCACTCTAAATGTCTCTCGCGAGAGCGCATGCTCGCGCGCACGCGATCTGCTAGGACGGCGACAACCGCCGCCTCCGTTCAGCCCAGTTCCGCGATGTCATCCATAGGCCTCGGACGTGTTTTAGGGTTTAGGCTTTGGGGTTTAGGAATTGGGGTTTGGGGTTTAGGGCTTGAGGTTTGGGGTTTAGGGTTTAGGGTTTAGGGTTTAAGGCGATTCGCATGTTAGGCTTTTCTGCTGAGTGGATGATGAGGACTTCCATGACCTCTGGGTTTAGGCCTTATGGAGTTTTTGATTTACAGGGTGAAAAGTCCCATAGGTTGGAATTCACGCCGAAGTGGGAGTTCGGAATATTTGGGGTTGAGTTCTCTAGAGGTCTTTGTAGGTATTGTGGTTGGGGTGCAAGGTTGCCCTTGACCCTCATTTGCATTTCCGGTTTTGGGATATGTACCTCGCTTAGCAAGGTCGTATAGCATAGTCAGAAATAGGTATCCTCGTTCCCGCCAGTTGGGTAGGTAGAGAGTCGTCGAAGGAGCACGCAATGCGTGTTTAAGTCGAGACTTATGTACGTACCTTTGCTGGCCTGCGGTAGCGGTGCCATTATGGATTCGGATGCCCAGCTATGAATATTCATGTCTACACGCCTGGATTTGAAACGGATATGTTCACATCAGACGTTGTTGCATTGATACTGCCGAGCAGCGTGCTTGTCGACCTGGTACAGTAGATTTCCTCGCCAGGATTTACAGGACACTGACACTGATGCTCCATGTTCCTTTGACGGAAATGGGACGGGAAGGGTCCCATACCACAGTACTGCCCCTCGAATTCCAAGTACAGGGTTCTAAGCACCCCTCAATGGTCAGTATGAGTATCGGGCACCTTACTTATACCCTATAAGATGAACCCAAGCACCCCAAAATGGGGGAGGGGGCATGAGTATAGGGCGCCTCACTTATACCCTATACAGCCCTATACTTCGACCTAACCCTAAGGCTCTATGTACCATATTAGAATATACTTGGGCCCAAGAGTCCCTATATAGGAGGTGCTTTTTGCCTATTTAGGTCCATGGACCCTTTGTGGTAACCCTAAACCCTAAACCCTAAACCCTAAACCCTAAACCCGGAACCCTAAACCCTAAACCCTTACATTAACTAGACTAACCTCCCAGTTCCGGACAACCAGACAAAGCACCCTGTCGCAAGGCAGGGCTTGCCTTCCCGGCAGCTTGGATGCACCTGAACACCAGCCTCCCAGTCACTTTTTAGGGGATTAGGGTTTAGGGTTTAGGGTTTAGGGTTGCAGGGTTATGTGTTGCCAGGGCCCAGAGTAGACCCTTATTCCCCTTTTGGGGAACCAGAACGAGGTTCTGGTTCCCTTCTAAGCCCCTTAAAGCCAAAAAAGGCACAGTTGTCATTCCGAGGTCGTGCCGACTGGTTTTGCTGCTCTTGCTGTTCTCATGTTTACAGGTTTAATGAAGTCACGCATACAGGGTATCTACTACCATTTGCTACCACTGTTGTTGTGACTGTTGTTGCTCGTCCATGATGATGATCATCATCGTTCAATCTCCCCTCCCCAGCAAAGGCCCCGCCATCTCGGCTACCGGCTCCATGAGCGCGGAGTTTTCAAAGCTTCTAAAGTGCTTCGAGGTTGGGGTAAGGGAGATCAGACTGCGACCGAAAAAAATGCTCTGAACCCCCCTGAGGTTGATAGGGCTTAGGGTGCAGAGGCAGCGCTCGATGCTCAAGGCCCTTTCCGCGGCCAACTGGTTCCTAGTTTCGAGCTCTGCGGGCTTCCATGACATTGCTGGCAAGTGCGAAGCAGCTGCAACGTCGCTTGCTTCGCCCTGCCTGGGTGAAGCGGCGCTTCGGGGTGGAACTGGAGATGCACGTGCCGCAGTGCAGCCCCGAGAGGGCAGCCAAACAACTTGCCAGTTTGAGCGGCCTGCACGTCGCAAAGCGGGTCGGTGGGCAAAAGGTGAGGGTCTACAGGCCGGATGGAGGCATCGCATATTATACGGATCGAGAGCAAAAGGTTTGCTTGCGTTACTGGGTCGTGCAACTCGATACTAGCCTGGATGATATTGACAGCATGGCGTCCGTGGAACTGTCCTCACCTGCAAGGGCATTCGAGGAGCAGGAAGATGACATTGACACATTAAGCAGTGTCTTGCAGGACATGGACACCAGAATCACGAAATCATGCGGACTCCACGTTCATTTAGACATGACTCGGCTGCCCAGGCATGCGCTGCTGAATTTTGTGCGCCTTTGGGTCCGCCTTGAACCATTGCTGTGCGCTGCTGTGCCACCATCACGCCGCGACAACGGCTATATTGCAAGCAGATAGCAATGGAACTCTCAAAGAAAGACTGGGGTCGCTTGTGGTATGCTGGTGATGGAAGAATGGCCAAACTTGTGAAGGACTTGTTGAACCCAGATGGAAAGTACCACGCGGTAAACTTTCCGAGCTCGGATCGTGACTACTGTACCATCGAAGTGCGTCTGCACAGTGGCACCATGGAAGCGTGGAAGATCAAAAGGTGGGTCAAGCTCCTCTTGCAGCTACTGGAGGGGTGCAAGGATGTCTGGGACGAGGAATTGCGGCTTTACGTCCGGCGCGGCTCTCAGCTACAGCTGCTGAATATGTTCGTTGACGAAGAGGTGCGCAGCCACCTCCTGCGCCGTGCTTTTTATTTCGCCCGTCGGTATCCAGACGCTGGGTTAGTTTCTGACGAGCTGCCCTGGTTGCGACGAGCTGCAGAACACGGCTACCCGGAGGACGGAACTTGGTGGGAGTACGACTGTGGCTCTTGTGGGGAGAGATTCCCCGCTGACATGGCGCTAGACGAGGACAGGGCCCTGTGCTGGTCTTGCTTGCACAACCCTAAACGCGCAAGCGCGCCGGGGGTCCAAGAGGAACTTTGCCAGGGCTGGCCAGTGAACTTGTGCCGCAAGTGTGGAAAGATATTCCCTTCCAAGCGGCCTTACTTTGGAAGAAAGCTGCCAACCTGTCGATCATGTACGTAAATAGCGCATTGTGCTTCAAGTGCAGATTTGAATTGAGTTCCCACAAGTGAGCGTCTAGCCTCTGCTAGCCGGAGCTATACATTACACGCAGCTTTTTGCAAGGGAAGCAGCAGTATAAACGCTGTGCTCAGGGCTTAGGGACACATACCCAGAACCCACCTTGGCCCCCTTAGACAGATCGTTTAGGGTTTAGGGTTTGGGGTAGAGGGTTTAGAGCAATGGAAGACTTGTCAATCCGCCCCCCCCCCCCCTCCGCCCCCACGAAACAAACGCATGTTTCAGAGCACATACACATCCACACAGCTTCAAACAACTCCGGCACCCCAAGCCCTGTAAAACATCAAGCCCTGAACCCTGTGTTACATAACCTCGGAGAAGCCCAAACCCCCCTCCTTAAGGACCCAAAACTCTGATTAAGCCCCTAAACCCTGAACCCTGAGCCCCAACCCTCAACCCCTCGACCCTAAACCCCCAAAAAGCCCTGAACCCTGAACCGCCTAAACCCTTAAGCCCCGAAAACCCCTAACCCCTAAACAACCCCTAAGCCCTAAACGTCAGACCCCTAGTTCTTCAAGGCTATGGCACCAGCCGGCGAGCAGTATCCTTTGATTCCAAGGGTCGCCGCCTTGCAGGCTTGGCTCAGTAGGGTTTAGGGTTTAGTTTAGGGTTTAGGGTTTTGGGTTTTGGGTTTTGGGTTTTGGGTTTTGGGTTTACGCTTCTGGGTTTTTCGTCAGGTCCCCCGTAGGGTATACGGCTTTCGTCTCAAGACCTGGAATTCGAGACTTTCAGGGCTTGAGGGCCTGTTTTTCTCCTGAAATTTGGAGTTTTGGGGTTGATAAGGTGAATGTTAAGATTAGACTTAGACTTGGGTGGTTGTCAAAATTATGGTCCCTTTTTGGATCCCTATTATAATACGGCACCTAATATTTAGGGTACCCCAAAAGGGATCATAATTTTGACAACCACCCACTTGAGGGTTCAAGGCGCTTAGGGCTCTGAGGCCTTCAAGGTTTCAGGGTCTAGGATTTACCGGACTGGTGGTCTTCGGCTCTAGAGGGCCAAGGGGATGAACTGCTGAAGGCAAAATATGTTGGAGAGCTGTGAGTCGAAAGTTCGAGCTTTGGTCCGAGGGAGCTGAGGTTGATTATTCTGGTTTAGGGTTTAGGGTTTAGGGTTTCGGGTTTAGGGTTTATAGGGTTTAGGGTTGAGGGTTGAGGGTTGAGGGTTGAGGGTTGAGGGTTTAGTTTAGGGTTTAGGGGGTTTACAGACCCCTTCGTTCCCGTTCTCTTGCCGTCCTGACTTTATAGAGAAACCGCGACAACCCAGAGCTTGAAATGTGTGGGTTGGCAGGGTGGTGTTGGAGCTGTAGCGAGCACAGCGCGAACCAGCCCTAAACCGTAACCCCTAAACCCCAAACCCCAAACCCTAAACCTGAATAATGAACATGGCACCATTTAGCCTGCTTTTCTTTGCTTTGCCATTCCCATCGCGACCCCATACCCGAACAGCGCTGAAGCGATAGGTGGGGCGTGGGGGATTAGGGTTTAGGGTTTAGGGCTTCGGGTTTCGGGTTAGGGCTTAGGGCTTAGGGTTTGGGGTTTGGGGTGGAGGGGGCCCTAGGATGGGTATACCCACAAGGTTCAGGGGATTTGGGATGCGCCTTTTCTCCTCTCCTGGTCAGGGCCCATTCTACGCCGTGTCGCTGACTGCGAGAAGGCTGGAGTGGGTTGACAGCCAGGACTCTTTGGGATGTTCCCCCTTATAGTCTCCTTAACTGGGATTATAATGGGGGTGCTAGAATGCCTTAGTATGGTAAGGGGAAACATCCCAAAGGCCTCTACTCCTTCAAAACGGCTTTTTATAGGTTGATTCTATGGAGCAGAATTCGTAAGATCTAATAGCCCGTCCTGTCCTGGGACACACGACATGCTCACGGGAGTGTGTTCTCTACCGTCGAGACTTCGGTCTTACTTGAGGTTTAGGAGTGTTTGTTGATTAGTTCTGCTGAGTCTAAGACCCTAAAGCCCCAAACGCCAAGCAGGCCCGAATTCGCACCCAAAGCCCCGGCTGAAGCCCTGGAACCCTAAACCCTAAAGCCCATGTTATCGGGCTTATGAGACCCCTATATACCCTAAATCCTAACCTTCCCATGTTCTCTCCGTGGAGGCAACGCAGAGCGCTGCCCCTGAGCTAATGACGCCCGGATGCTGTCGTTTAGATGGGGTTTAGGGTTTAGGGTTTAGGGTTAGGGTTTGCCAGAGCTGTTGGCTGAGGGATTCTAGGGCAGGCTTGAATTTTAGGCAGTTCAGGGGTTCAGTTAAAGCCCAACGCCCCAACCCTACAAACCCTGAAAGGATTTCAGAGGGGCTTACTACCAGTATTACCGCAGCAACTAATGCTAGCCCCCTTATGATGCCATTATACGTAGATTCTAAACTGCCCACCCATTCCAACTACAAGCACTCAGAGGGTTTCGGGGCTTCGTGTAAGGGGCCTTCGACTTCAGGCGTAGAGCTTCGAGGTTTGGGGGTGACAGGGATCAGGGTTCAAAAGCATGAAGTTTAGGGTTAGGGTTAGTGCAGTTTAGGTTTAGGTTTTAGGTTTTAGGGTTTAGGGTTTAGGGTTTAGGGTTTAGGGTTTAGGGTTGTGGGGACTCTTCGAATCGATCGCGCAGCATGATGTGACTGTGGCTGGCCTTCTCCCGGAAAACGTGCAGGAAAGCCTGGACGCTATAACGCGATACGCAGTTCTAAGCAGTACCAAAGCATGGCGCCCTTTTAGAGGCTACTTTAGACTCCCCAGACCCCGAAAGCTACTTTAGACTCCCCAGACCCCGAAAACTGAACCCCCTAAATGCAACAAGACTATCTCCTAAAACCGCAAAACCCCAAAAAACCGCAACCCCCAAGACCCCAAAACCCTAAAACCCCCAAACCCCAAAACCCGAAAACCCCAAAGCCCTAAACCCCCTAAAGCCCTAAAACCCCCAAAGAAGTCGCCAAACGCCGCTTAGGACCGCGGCGGCGCTCGCAACTGCCGAGTGGGCGGGCAAGCGACCACCAATCGAGCAGAGGTTGGGTTGTTTGAAGGTTTAGGGCGTTTAGGGCATCAGGGTTTTAGGGGGTTTAGGGTTTTATGGTTTTAGGGTTTTAGGGTTTTAGGGTTTTAGTAGGGTTTTAGTAGGGTTTTAGGGTTTAGGGTTTTAAGGCTTTAGGGTTTTAGGGCCTAGTTTAGGGTATTAGGGTTTTAGGGTTTAGGGTTTTAAGGCTTTAGGGTTTTCGGGCCTCGTTTAGGGTATTAGGGTTTAAGGGTTTAGGGTTTTAAGGCTTTAGAGTTTAGCGCCTAGTTTAGGGTATTAGGGTTTAAGGGTTTAGGGGTTTTAGGCTTTAGGGTTTAGGGCCTAGTTTAGGGTTTGGGGGTGTTAGGGTTTAGGGTTTCAAGGCTTTGGGGTTTAGGGATTTAAGGCTTTAGGGTTCAGGGCCTCGTTTAGGGTTTTAGGGTTTTAGGGGGTTAAGGTGTCAGTGTTTAGGATTGTTTAGGGTACGAGGTGGAGGGTTTTACCAGAGGAGCCTAGGAACCGACATTGTTGTTTAGGGTTTAGGGTTTAGGTTTAGGTTTTAGGGATGTCGGATGCCTTACGCGACCTTCAAGATGGTATCAGGATGCGGATACTTGGGGATTCATGGGTATAAGTAGGGTTATAAGTACCCTACGTGGGGCTTTAAGTGTAGTTACCGTACTTCGAACCCTACTTATAACTACTACTATACCCCTTTTTTCATTCAACCCTAAACCCTAAGCCCCAAACCCGCTTCAAAGTACCCGAGTCCAGACTTCTCTTCGATCGACACGGTAGAGGTTACGGAGTCCCTAGATCCAGAGGGCTCAGGGTTTGCCCTAAAGCCTAAGACCCTAATTAAACTTGAAACCCCACACCCTAAAACCCTAATTCAACCCGAAACCTGAAACCCGAAACCCGAAACCCTAAATCCTAAACCCTAAACCCTAAACCCTAAACCCTAAACCCCAAACCCCAAACCCCAAACCCTAAACCCTAAACCCTAAACCCCAACCCCAGGACCCCATAGATGCCTAATCCTCAGAGGCGCGCCCAGACGGCGGCTGCACGGCTGGAGAGGCTGGAGGACTGGTGATCATATGTAGTTTTTAGGGTTTAGGGTTTAGGGTTTAGTTTTTAGGGTTTAGGGTTTAGGGTTTAGGGCTTAATTTGGGTTTCAGTGTTTAGGGCTTAGGGTTTGCAAATCCTAGTCCTGGTTTTTCATCGAGGCTTCCTTTGCGAAGAATGTCCGGCAAAAGGACTGCACTCTGCATTTCACAACGTTACTGTGATCCCCAACCCCCCAAACGCAGCAATGGTAGACAGGCCTCCTACCCTCCTCTGAAGCACTTCGCGGCCCCAAACCTATAAGCCCTAAACCCTAAACCCTAAACACTAAACACTCATGCAGCTGCTGAGGAGATGAGGCAAGCGAAGCAGAGATACCGAGAGCAGGCGCAGGCGCCGGAGGGCAAGAGCCTTCAGAGAATGTGGGGGCTGTTCTGGCTGTTCTGTTTGGGGTTTGGGGTTTAGGGTTTAGGGTTTGGGGTTTAGGGTTTAGGGTAATTTCGGAATACAAAAGAAGCCCTCGAAAGGGATCCTAGTGGAACAACTCCCGCATAGAGTGCAGGGTGTCCTTAGAGGGCCTGTTGACCCAGCCCCATGCCCTACAAAATACGGCACGATGTTGGCTACGCGGCTACCCTAAACCCTAAACCCTAAACCCTCAGCCCTAAACCCTAAACCCTAAACCCCAAACCCCAAACCCCAAACCCCAAACCCCAAACCCCAAGTCCTGCCGCAAGCCGCCGAATTGTTACCACACAAAGCTGCCACCACCATGCAAGCCTTAAACCCGAAGCACCGAGACTCTGTAGTTCGTGTTTTGGGGTTGAAGGCTATATGTCTATAGACTTCTCTAGACTCTTCACATCTCAAACCCCGAACTCTGAGCATTTGCCGGTAGTTTGCAAGTCTTTGGTGTGAGGAGGACTCTGGGTGTGGTTCTTGGTTTTTAGCCTCTAGCAAGAAAAAGGTGTTAAACCTATCCTGTATACCCAATATAGACACCCTTTAGGGAAGTTCCTTCTATTGCGTGCTACAGGGTTGCTAGGTAGGGCCCTGAAGAGCTTCTAGCGGTTCTAGCGCCATGTCCCAGAGCACGCGCCTTCGCGGACACGCTGCAAAGTACCATGGCCTGGCTCACAAGTCCGTGGTTATAGCGACATACTCTGCCAAAGCCGAGGAGTTCGACAGGGCAGACATGTGCAGGCACGCGGCCCACGTGGCATCCTGGATCGCCTACGGCCCAGAGGGCCGGATTCCCAAGAAAGCGGAGCTTCAGCTCTTGGAGAAGTTTCTCGGGAGATTGGGAGGCGGGCGGCTGCCTTCGCGCTTGAGGGAGGTGCTTCCGGACGCGCAGGAGGCGCTTCGGGCCCTCCCACCGGGCGGTTTGACTGAGGCTTGGCAGGAGGCAGCGCAGCAGCTGCGAAGATCTCTCCAGAAGTTGCGCTGCTGCCGCCAGCCGGAGGACAAAGCCGTACCTTGGGGAGCAAATGAACCCTGAAATTGGGGGTCATATACCCTATACTACTGCAATCCTACTAAGGTATATGAACCATAAACCCTTTTAGGGTTCATATACCATAATTTATAGGGTGTGACCGACGAGGAAGCGGGCCGAGCTCTGGTGGCTGTGCCAGAGCATGGCCTGGCGGATGCAGCTCTGGAGAACGAGGAGGCAAACCCCCAGATGGTGGTGGCTCATACTGCGGAGCAACACCTGCAGCTCGTCAGCATGATGAATCACTGGGGATTCCTGGATGACTCCCAGAGGCTTCAGCGGCTTCAGCAAGTGGAGGCGGTGGCCAGGAGAGCGCCCGAGAGTCGCAGCCAGGAAGAGCTCGCTGAGGCCATCAGCATGGCGGCCGCAGCGCTCTGCGCCCCGCGAAGAGCTGCGGCAGAAGCTGAAACCGGAGGATGGGGACTGCTGAGTGTTGCGACGCTACCAGTCAGATAAGGTTCTTTTGCTAAGCTTCTGCCTCTTATCATTATCTCCATTTCTTTCTCTTTTGTTATTGTGTCAACCATGCTTCGCCTCTTCGCCTCCTCGCCCGGTGTGCCGCCCTGTCTTCCGACCAGGACCTTGAGTACCCACCCCCAGATAATCCCGCCGAGAAGATCAAGCCCTGAGAGATCCCTGGAGCGTTTTCGGAGAGACCCAGTTTCCCATGGAGTCCCACCTCCAGTGTATCCCGGCAAGAGTCTCGCCGAGAGATGTCCGCGGAGAGCGACGCGTCAGTAAACTACCTGTCCGAAAACGTCAGAATGGCTCCCGTGCATCTGTGGCTGTAGGGTGGGGATGGTCGGATGAAATGTGCTCCTATCTCTTTCTCTCTTTCTCTCTCTCGAGTCTCGCTTTCTCTGTCTTTATCCTCTCTCTCGCTCGCTCTCTCTCTCTCTATCCATCTCTCTCGCTCGCTCGCTCTCTCTCTCTCTCTCTCTCTCTGTTTCTCTCTCTCTCACTCTCTCTGTCTCTCTCTCTCTCTCTCGCTCTCTTTTTCTCTGTTGCTCTCTCTCTCGCTCTGTCTCTCTCTCTCTCTTTCGCTCTCTCTCTGTCTCTCTGTCTGTCTGTCTGTCTCTCTCTCTCTCTCTGTGCATAGGCTTTCCAACGGAATCGCAGGAGTTGAGTCATTCAAAATCAGGGTGCCTGAAAGTGGTTCACTAGCAGCGACCAGGAGCACACGATCCTCGAGGTCCAAGCGACAGTTCGCCAGTGGATATGCAGAAACGAGTGCGGTCGGTTCTGCTTGAAGCATTGCATGCATGGCAGGTAAGCCAATATGACTGTCATGCCATTGAACACGTGCTGGAGTACATTCACGAAAAGATCAACAAGTTTGAGGAGAGCGCAGGTGAAATTCGAGGTGCTGCTGCTGGCAAGGTTTGGTGGACCATCAAGCATGTGGTCGACGACCTGCTAAGCGCAGGAAGCGGGCCGGGGCACTTGGAAATTCAGGATGCTGAGTCGGTGGCTCCACTTGAAAAGAGTGCCCGCTTAGTCAAAAGACGCCTGGAACGCCAGAGTGGCATCCAAGGTCTTTCATGGGATGCAAGCCTCCAGCGGTGGTCCCTCTACACCTGGGAAGACGGCAAGCGGAAGTGGTTCCGTTTCTCCATTGTGACTAGGACCTGGAGTGGGCCCTTGTTTCCTTTTTATTGGGGTTGGGGTTCCCTCATAGTCCCCTTAAACCCCAAAAGAGCACCCTGTTTGTTCCTAGGTTACTGCTGGGTCTAGGTGAAATTCCTTCAGCAGGGCCTTGGAGAGGAGGCGGCCGTAGAGGCAGCACTGCAGGAGGCCAAGGCCAAGCGTGAGGAGTTGGTGCGTCAGGGAATGCTACAGCCGCCAAAGCTCAGAACAGCTCCACCCGCCTCCCTGGTGAGGGGCGTTTCGTATCGCAAGGACACTCAGAAGTGGCAGGTGTGTTTCCGTCATAACGCCGCAAAGAAGTGGTATTATGGTGGCACCTTCCAAGCACAGGAGCAGGCCGAGGCCAAAGCCAGAGAGATGGCCATGAAGTTGGGCATCCCGGCTGACGTGGAAGTGGTGCCAGCCAAGAGCTCTCAGAGTTGCTCCGACGGAAAACAGAGAGGAGGGGTCAGGGACAGCTGGTTGAGTTGCAAGCCCTTGTCCCACATGTGTGGGCTAGCAAGGAGGTATACAGGTACATACACACACATAGAAGACGTGTCGGGCATATGTACGTATCCGGGCATATCAGGGCACCAGATTCAGCGCCCATTGTAGGCCCGTGCTTTATATGACCCGCACCTAGACCTAGATGAACCTGAGCCAGTGTCCCAGTCCCGAAAGCCTTCTAAGCCCTCAATCGGGGCATCAGGGTGTTTCGTTGCCACCCGCATCAGGCTGTGGTTGCCGCAACCTGGCGACCGGAGTGGCTTTGGCAGCATAGCTGAGACACAGGGATGGGGTATCAGTGTTTAGGTTTAGTTTTCGGGCTCAATTGTGGTATAGGGAGGGCGGGGGGTTTCCAGGGCCTGATTTGGGGTTTGGTTTTTGCACAGGCTGTCCGGAGCACTGAAGTTCCTAAACCCATCATCACGAGATCGGATGCAGACATCGATACAAGGATGCTAGCTGCTAGCTGCTGAGCTAAGCCCCTTCCTCTCCCAAACATGGGTTTCAGTTCTGAAGCCAACGCCGGTTCGCAATTTAAACCTCCCAGAACCCCCCCCCCCCTTGCTCTAAGCCGTACCACGAACCATGAGCTGGAACAATTTTCAGTTGTTCCCATGCCCAGGCCGCGCGCGCTGGAAACTGCCGAAGAGACTGAGCGGAGGCCAGGCCTGTGTCGAGCAGCGCTCTAGGCAGGAAGTAAAAGCGACCTCGAGTCGAACCCCCAGCCAAAAAACCTCAACGATATGCTGCTTGTCATCCCCCTGGCTTGCCACGTCACCTTCGACATCGCAGTGAAGAGATCCTGTTGCTGATTCCCGCCCCCCCCTTTGGTGCGGCGTGCAGTGAGTGTGACAAGCTGGGGAAATAGGGCAAAACGCCAGGCGTCGAATACGCTGCCTCGTCTTCCCCAACACGCAGGCAGAGGCGACGCGCGGTTCCAAGCTGTTGGGCTCATTTTGGGGTTCAGGGTTTCTAATTCAGGGTTTAGGGTTTACAATTCAGTGTTCAGGGTTCAGGGTTCAGGGTTTAATTAGGGTTTATAATTCAAGGCTTAGGGTTTAGGTTTTGGCATCTTGGGCTTCGCAGGGGTTTAGGGTTTAGGGTTTAGGGTTTAGGGCCATTTAGAGGGCTTAACTATACGGCTTTGAAGAGGAAGAGCTGCCTATTCCGCAGTCTTCCCCACGCGGCGGTCCCCAGCAAATGTGGCGGCAATCCGCAAGCTGAATCCCTGAACCCCAAACCTGAAGTGCAAGCTCTAGAGGGCTACAGGGCTTAAGGATGTTTAGGGTTAACATCGTTTGGGGTTCGGGGCTTAGGATGTAGGGTTGATGGGGTTTAGGGTACCCGAAACCCTCGGCCCAAACAAGGCCTCGAAGGCCAAGCTGATTTCAGAAGCTTCAAACCTCCCGACCTGCGGGGCATCAGAAGCCCCGGGGCCAGCCGGGCATTGCGGTTTAACTGCGGTTTACTCGGCAAGCTTAAGGATCCCCTAAACAAGTTCTTATCCGGTACAATTGTATGACTACAAGTTCTTGTGCTTGGAATCTTCCGCCAGCCCTGGTTCATTTTTTGGGGTTTAGGGTTTCGGGTTCTGCGCTGTCACCGTAAAGCGTATCCTGGCCTCGGAGTCAGGTTGTTCCCTATAAGCCCTAAGCCTGTAGGCAGGGGTGGGTTGGGCAACCCCTAATCCCTAACCCATGAAGCTGCAAAGCCTTAAAGTGGCACTGAAAGAAGCCCCGGGAGGAGCAGACGGCCGCGACGCTGCTGGTGCAGGGCACCGCCGGGGTGCGGATCCCGAGTTTGAGGCCTTTAGAACTTTAGAGCTGGCTCCGTTGTGTTTGAGCGCCTTCGTTTCGGAGTTTTGGGGTTTTCTTGGGTGAAGTTTGGGTGCAGAAGGAGTGAGTGTCGGCCACAGAATACTCTCGAATGAGATGGGCAGCCATGGCCCGATCGTGGTCTAGCACATCTGCCGCGCCATCTAAGGTAATAGGACCCAAACTCACTACCGGCCCTCAGAAAGATGATATATCAATAGGCAATAGGTTATATCATACACATACATACACAGAGTGTATACGTACAGGTGCTTAGGCAGTACTGCCGGCTTCAGGCTCTACTTTGCTTGAACCCTAAACCCTAAACCCTAAACCCTGAACCCTGAACCCTGAACCCTAAACCCTAAAACCCTATAAACCCTAAACCCTATAAACCCTAAACCCTAAACCCTAACCCTAAACCCTAAACCCGCATGGCGAAGCCCAAGCTGCGTTCCGAGGAGCGTCGCCGGCTCGGGGGAGGCATTTGCACTGGCAGGCACCGACGCAATATAAGGGTCGGATGTCCCCTTCTGGTCCCTTTATAAGTATACTTTCATAACCCCAACACCCTATTCCAGTAAGGCCACGGTTCGTGTAGGTTCGTTTCGGTTTCCTGGTACATACTCTGGAACGGTTCCGGTTCATGCGGTTCGCTGCGGCTTGCGGTTCGGTTCGGTTCGGTTCGCATGCCAACCCCCCCCCCCCCCCAAGCCACAGCCAGCCCCTCCAGCCTCCAAGCCTCCAGCCCTTCCAGCCTCCAGTCGCCAGCCTCCAGCCCCCCAGCCTCCAGCCCCTCCAGCCCCTCCAGACCCTCCAGCCTCCAGCCCCTCCAGCCCCTCCAGCCCCTCCAGCCTCCAAGCCTCCAGCCTCTCCGGCCTCCAAGCCTCCAGCCCCTCCAGCCGCCAGCCCCCTCCAGCCCCTCCAGCCTCCAGCCCCTCCAGGAGGGGCTAACCCTAAACCCCCTCAACCCTGAAACCCTAAACCCTAAAAAAGCTGAGGCTGGAGGGGCGGAGGGCTGGAGGCTGGAGGGCTGCTGGAGGGCTGGAGGAGGCTGGAGGCTGGAGGGGCTGGAGGCTGGCAGGGCTGGAGGGGCTGGAGGGGCGGGCTGCGGCGGGCTGGGGCTGGAGGGGTGGGGCTGAAGGGGCTGCTGTGACAGTATGGGCTGGGGGTTGGAGGCCCAACTGGCGGTTGGGGGGGTTGGGGGGGGGGGGGGGGTTGGGGGGGTTGATAAGGCCTTGGCTTCAGGTTCGGTTCCATGGCGGTTCGTGTTTGTCGCGGTTTCGGCGGTTCACGTTCACACGGTTCCTTCGCGCGTGCGGTTCCTGGCGGTTCGGTTCCGGTTTGCGGTTCGGTTCGCGGCGCGGCTTTCCTGCTATTCTAATTATAAAGGCACCTATATTCGGCTGATTTGACAGCAGCAGGTTCCTGTGTGCTATGCAGAAGGAAGCTCTGCTTTTCGATTCAGCTCGTATGGGTGTGGGGCTAAGTTTAGGGTTCAGGGTTTAAAGGGTTCAGGCTATGTTTTGTCTCAGGTCTGTTGGCTGCGGATGCAGTATCTCACAAAGGGCCCAAAGGGAAAGCAAAGCCAAACCCCTAAGCCCGAAACCCTAGACCCCCAGACCCCCCGACCAAAGGGTTCGTGAAAGGTTAACTCTCCAAGTCAAGCCTCAGCGCCACGTCAGCCACGGCCCTGGTTTTGACTCAGGGATTTCGGTTCAGGGCCCCCTATAAACCCCAAACCCTAAACCCTCTGTACAGCCTAAACCCTATCATAGACTCTAAACCCTAAGCCCTAAATCCTGAACCCAAATTCAACCCTGCAAGCCTAACCCCAAAACCTTAAGAAGGCTTGGGGGTTAAGCTTTGGGGGGCCGGGTTGACCTCGGGCCGTGTTTGGAGGTACTTCCCTCCTGCGTCCAGTATTCTACAGTCGTACAGCGAAGGAGGAACCTGAGGAAAAGGAATATGAGGGTTTAGGGTTCCAGGGTTTAGGGTCTAGGGTTAAGGGATGCGAAGGGTTTAGGGCTTAGGTAGGCTCAGCGTTTGGCGTGTAGCTTTTTTGGGTGCTACCTCGAGCCTCGTTCTCACATGACCTGCGGCTTCGGGTTCAGGGGAATCCCAACCTCATCACCCCAACCACCGTGACTTTCCCCCATGTTCCAAGGCAGTTTCGCGGAGATGTTCCAACGAAGTGTTGGCCAGCATCCATACTTCTCCTTCCCATTCAGCTCGGGCGAGTGGAAGTATTAGCCGATGGCGGAGCTGCGATACAGCCACCCAGCTAGTCTTATAGGGCTCAGGATTTAAGGTTTAGGATTTAGGGTTTAGGGTAGCTTATCTAGACCCAAACCTCATTTTCATAGCTGGTCATCTCTAGGATGCAAGTATCGTGACGGGCGCAATATAGTGGTTATGGTCAAAAACGAGCTTTGGTCGATCATTGTGGGGTTTTTGTAGCTTTCATTGGTTGGGCTTGAACGAAGGGATCTTGGCTCCAAACTGGGTTGTTGGGGTTAGTGGGGTGTCTTCCTTGTCTCCCGAGCTATGCCCCCAAACCCTGAAGCCTTAAGTCATATATGATAGGGGTCGGAATACTTCTGCTATAGAAGTAACCCATAATAACCCCTCAAACAACTATTTTAATTGGTTACGGCCCCTGGATTCGTCTCCCTAAACCCTGAACCTTAAACCCTGAACCCCTAAACCCTGAACCCAAAACCCTAAACCCCCTAAAACCCTATTCAAATTTTAAGGCCTGTAGATGAGGCTAAAGCTCCGCCCCACTCTTTTCAACGCACTGCATCGCCTCTCTCTTGGGGGCGCGCCGGCTGTCTTGGTGTCGGAGTTTCGGGGCTTAAGATTTGTGATAAGCCGCATATCTTGGGATGCTTCTCCTTCTACTACAAGTCCTTGATAGGGATTAGAGTACCACTATTGTAATCCCTATTAAGGACTGTCAGCATATGAGGGAACATCCCAATGTATAATTGTGGATGGTAACATGTTTGTTCGGTAACCTTGGTAGTCCAGTGGACTCTTCCTTTTGGATCTGGGTTCCCTTATAAAGTAACCAACCACAATATGGTACCCTTCTTGTAATGTGGTTACTTGGCTTCGAAGTAACCATCTTAATTTCGCGTCGCGGATTTAAGATCAAAGTTTAGAACTTAGTGCTTCAGGGCTCCGATTTGCTTTGTGTTTTAGGGCCGCGCACCCCAAGAGCAACCTCGTGGCATCCTGCTGGGAAGCCAGTCGGCGGGTAGAAAGGAAGGCTCTGCAAGCAAATGCCATCATAAGTCATGTAGCAGGGGTAATTCCCAAAAGAGGGGTGCCCCTACTCTACGCCACTAACATGCTAGTATCCCTATGATAGGAGCCCTCAACAAGGTTTGCTGTCTGATGCCACGGGGTGCACGCCTGAAACCCCTGTAAACCCCTCTAAACCCCTCTAAGCCCCTCTA